TCAAGAGGTTGAATTCTGTGCGAGGTGTGTGGCGGCAACGTTAATAGCACAATATTATTTTCCTTCGCCAAATCAAACACGGAAACTGCAATATGGGACTCGTGATTATCAAGTATTAGTAGCACTTTTTCTTGCTCTCTCGGCTTAACGTGGGCTATAAAATGCTGCCAGTAGTGTAAAAAAGTTTCTAGTTTGGTCATCCTGATAGATTTGCGCCTCCAATTGAACCCGGTAGTGTACCATGTAACATGTGGTCCTTGAAAAACACGCCAGGGAATATCAACAGGTGCGGCACATGGTTACCGATGGCATTCACCGCAGCAATCAAAGTTACATTGATCCCTCTTTCTCCGGATGTCATACTACCCAGTTGCTTTACACCTTTTAAGGCTATCATCTTAGGTAAAAACTTATAGCGTGACATTACTGTTTTAAGATTGTTGAAAAAATCTTGGATATTTTCCTTGTTAAAACTGGTTGACCTTGCCAGGCTTGTAGCCTTGTCGTTTCCTTAACGACACTTTAAAAGTGTTTAAAAAAACACTTTTTTAACATCGTCGTTCGCGTTATATTCGAATATAGGACGTTCAGAGTTTGCATGAATTCGAATATGATTAGATAAGGTTGATCGACAAATATCATATTTTTTGGCAACTTGTCGAACAGGAATCTTATTTTCGAGGACGTCTTCGACAACTTTCTGCAAAGCACCTACATCCACTTTGTCTCTTTTTATTCCACTTTTGCTTCGTGGCATTTTTTCTGTAAAGAAGTTTGGTGTCAGTTTACTTATTATTTAAGTAAAAAACCATTAAAGTTCAATTTTATAGAGTTTATTAGCCGAGTGCAGTGAGGTTAATAAATCACATGAGCGATAAAAATTGCCTTAATGCCGCGGTGCATATTAAATCAAAGAGACCACTGAGCTTCCTCTGATTTAAAATTATTTATTGCCTATGCATTTAAAACACACGTCAGTGCCGATTTCGCCTTACTTAAGTATCTACTTCCAGTGAAATTACAGATAAATTAGAAAAAGTAAAATGTTTTGTCTTGTTGTACCTCTGACCAGACCAAAGGTACAACAAACGTAATGTCCCAAGGTACTACAATGCTTCCAACTACCAAAACACATTAACCTTTTAAGGTTATGTAAACTTTATGGATTGGTGAACACAAGTTTTAAATAGCAAACAGTATATTTCTTACCAACTCCGCCTGGAATGACTGTTGGGTGAATCGAGTAGCTTAACAGTCATTCTTGCCGGTCCTAAGCCCGGATAAAGGAGGAGGGTTAAGCGGAAGGCCAACAACCTACCCTTGTAAAAAACAGCCTGTTATGAAAACTGCAAATGTGCTTCGGAATCGAACAGATACATATGTAAAACGACAATCGCAATGGACAAGGACTTTGAATGTTGGAACGTGGAACGTTTTAAGCTGGTACCGGACAGGAGCAGCCATACACGCAGTAAAACAGTTAGAAAAAGTAGGAATGGACATTACGGCAATACAAGAAATAAGGTGGCCGGACAATGGAAACGAAACATAAGAATAGACAAGGCGGTCATTTTCTACAGTGGAAACCAGACAGGAAAACATGAATTCGGCACAGGTTTCGTGGTCCGAGAAGAATACTTAAACAGTGTTATAAGTTTTACGCCCATCAGTGAGAGACTGTGTTATATTAGACTGAAAGAAAAATTGTACAATATCTCAATTATATCCGCACATGCTCCGACAGAAGATAAAGAAGAAACAATCAAAGATGACTTCTATGAGCAACTCGAAAGAACGCTGGAGAGAATTCCCAAACAAGACATGCAAATAATCTGCGGAGACTTCAACGCAAAAATTGGCAAAGAACAACCTAAGACCGACAATAGGACAACACATTCTCTACGATATCTCAAACGATAATGGAGAAAGGCTCGTAGAGCTAGCATCGGCTAACAATATGCTGGTAAAGTCTACTATGTTCCAACATAAAAACATTCATAAACAGACTTGGGTCTCTAATGACAACTCCACACGGAACCAAATTGACCACATAATTGTTGATGCTAGACACGAAAGTAATGTCCTTGACATAAGAAGCCTCAGGGGCGTAGATGGAGATACAAACCATTACCTAGTAAGAGCAAAAATCAGGTTGAGAATATCATCACAGAAACTTAAAACGAACGAAGCATTGGGGCAGTGGAACATTGAGAAAACGCAAAATAAGGAAATCCGAGATACGTACAGGAAATGGAACAACATCTAAATAGAATAGACCAGAGCAATGATGTCGAAAGGCTGTGGCAACAAATGGAAAAATCAATTACAGAGTCAGCAGAACTAATAATAGGAAAAAGAAGGACGAAAACAAGGAAATGGTTTGATAAAGAATGCCAAGAAAAACTAAAAGACAGACAGAAAAAGCGAAACATTATGCTTCAACAAGAAACAACAGAAAGTAAAGAAAATTATACAACATCACGACGAGAAACAAAAAAACTAATTAGAGAGAAAAAAGAAAATACGAACAACAGCAGTATGAAGAAATGGAAAGAAATAGACAACAGTCAAATAGTCGAGCATTTTACAAATCTGTGTCAAACGAAAAGAGAGGATTTAGACCTAACTGCGTGTCTGTACTGAGGAAAAATCTCAAACATGGCAAGAATATTTCAAAAATTTACTTAATATACACCAAGATGAAGAACATGGAGAGGATATATACTTTGGGGTGGACCTACCGGTAGAGTACCCAAAAATAGACGAAACATTGCAAGCAATTAACAAATTGAAGAACGCAAAAGCTCCAGGCTCTGACAATATACCAGCCGAATTTCTTAAGTACGGAGGAGAAACTTTACATAGACAATTACACAAACTAATAACACTTATATGGAACGAAGAGAATATACCAACAACATGGCACGAAAGTGTAATAATTCCTATCCATAAAAAGGGAGACAAAACCAAGTGCTCTAACTATAGAGGCATCTCCCTACTTAATACGGCGTACAAAATCTTATCGAACATCCTATTAAGTAGACTAACACCTTTTGTAGAAAATTTCATAGGGGAATACCAAGCCGGATTCAGAAAAAATAGATCGACCATAGATCAGATTTTTACTCTCAGGCAGCTGCTTGAAAAAGGATGGGAATTCAATAGAACCATTCATAATCTCTTCATAGATTTCCGACAAGCATACGACAGCATTAAAAGGGATCAGATGTGGAATGCAATGGCAGACGGGAAAATATTTTGGTTTGATATGGAGTAGTAACTATACCGTACTGAGGAGATCTAAAGAGATCGAAATACGTATATGCGGCTTGTTGCTGCTCTGTATCAAATCAAAATCTTATACCGTCATTTTGTTTTGTTTATTTACTTCATTTGGAGTACCAGAAATCGAATTCACTACGAATATAGGCCATGATGAACGGCATTTGGAGTGCAATTTTTAGACTCCATTGCCGATGCATTCATCAAGCTGTTTGCTTCGCAAGTCTTAGGGGGCACGGCAGCTTATATTTGAATTCGATTTCGCCAGGTAGAAATCGTATGATTTCTCTTTTTGCAGAACTTTCAGTTCCAAAAAAACTTATCCAGGCCGTTAAAGTTTGTGTAAATGGGTGTAGGTCTAGAGTGCGGATAGGTAACAAGCTCTCAGAGTCGTTTGAAATAAACAGTGGACTGAAACAAGGAGACGCGCTGTCACCTCTTCTTTTTAATATAATCCTGGAAAAAGTAGTAAGAACCGTACAAATTAGAACAGAACTACTGACAGTAAATGGACCAAAATTACTACTAGCATACGCGGATGACATTGACATTGTAGGAAATACCGTCACCAATGTAAAAAAAACCTTCAATAAATTAGAGAGAGAGGCAAAAAATACCGGTCTAAGGGTCAATGAAGAGAAAACCAAATATATGTGCATTAACACACAAAAGCAGGTTGTGCAGTCAGCCAAGACCCACCCCGGGTTGTAGTGCTACCAGAAGAAAAAGATATTTCTTACCTGGGAAATTATAGATGAAACCAGCCACAACTTTGTAACACACCGACTCTTTATGTTCTCGCTAGTCATTTACTTTTAACACGAAAAACTCACAAGCCTGACTAAATTCCAAAGTCTTTATATTTATGAAGCGAAACTATTGTACCGACCTCAAGTGGTCAATAGCAGAACGTTAAAGCAAAAATTCTTTCCAACACGGAGAAAACAACAATTTTAACGACAGTGTTCAGAAGTAATAGCTCCCTACAAGTACAAGTAACAAAGTACAAGAATTTGTACTTTGTTACTTGTACTTTGAATTTGTACGTTTGGGTTATTGTCAAATACAACAAGAACTGCAATTCGAACATTTAAGAAAAAGGCATGTATTATTACTGGATTACTTTCAAGATATTTATTATAATCATTTATTTATAATTTATTAATATTAGAAATCAATAAAAATAATTTTCTAAGTGCATGTCTTACAAATTATATCAGTTAAACCCCCTGTATTATACATTTTATAGTGAAATTTTATAGTGAAATGTAGAACATTAGGTAAACTTAAAAATCTGCGTGTTTTAGATTTTTTTCAAAAAGCTTTTCATTTAGGAAATAATATCAAATTTATTCCATACTTTACGGACACACTGTATACAACTACCTACCATTTTGAATTAAAATGTAGGATACAAAATAATAATATTGATGAATTAGTTTGATTAACTTATTTTTGTCAATCTCTATTTTGTTCGGAAACCTATTTAGTATAAACTATGTCACCATACTAATCATTTAAGTAAATCAAAGTAATCTCAGTGTCAGTGGCACCAATTCCAATAACAAACTCAATAAAATAATCTACAATCGAAACAATTTACTTCTTAGAGGTGAACAAGTCTGTGCTTTAAATGATAAACCTTGAAAAATTAACATAGAGGTGAAAACATCTGAAAGTCAAACGAAAATGTTTACAGCACACCATTTCTTAACAAAATGTTGACAAATGCAGACAAAAATCAGTACCATCGGTCGGTGAGACTAATACAAATCGAAAAAACTAGTGCACAATGTGGATTTCATTTGACTAGAAGCAAATGGGACCCTTACCCCTGGGTGAGCAGTGTAGACAACGACAGCGCGGCTTCTTCGTCGGGTTTAAAGACCGGTGACTGTGTGATAGAAGTCAATGGAGAAGATATTCTAGGAAAACGGATATCAGAAATAGCGGAAATAGTTAAGTCCAAACCTGAACAAGTTTCACTTTTGCTTTGGAATGCTGATATCGATGCCCACTGTACGCACGAGGTAAAAAAATTATATTTGCTTACCAGGGGCGGGACATAAC